AGCTCACCTGTTATCATACAATTATTTTTAGGCTCTCAGGAGCAAAGGGATTTTATAAACATTAAACAGTCAGGCCAGTGGAGATAGCTCAGCAGTCTAAATACTTGCCTAGGCAAGTGCAGGGACCCAGGTGGGATCCTCAATTCCCGGCAACCACATGCTGTGTTGGCCTTGCCCTGGGTGCACTGAGCTGGCCACGAAAATCAGGCATAGTGGTGAATGCCTGTAATCCCAGTGCTGGGGATGCTGAAACAGGAGGATAACTACAAGTCTGAGCTGGGTAGCGAGACCTTGTACCAAATTCATTTAAAAAAATTAAACATAGTTACAGCATCTGATACTATGTATTACATGTAATTATGCATACATAATCTTCTATTTTATGAATCATGCCTTTATAATGAGATAAAACAGCACTGAAATGGCACAACAATATAACTAGTATCAGTAGAACAGAAATATTTTCACTGCACAATGACATTATCCCAGAAGGATTCCTATGGTGGTATGAAGTATTTTTGCTATTTAGTGCCTCTTCTCAGTGATAACTACAAATTTGTTTTATGTCTTAGATTAAAAACCACACCCCTTTCTTTACATGAAGTAAGCTTTCACTATTTACAGAATGAACCTTCTTTCTAATGCAAACATTTTCTCTTCAACTGAGAAATGCATATTTTTAAAAAAAGCACACAGTTTTCTTTATCTTCAATGGACTATTCAACCAATACAGTAAAATGAATAGAAAAAATATTGAAATGTTGCAAGTTTTCTTTGTGGAGTTGCCTATGTTCTGTGGTAATTTGGATGGAGTCGTAAAACATAAGGAAGCATAAATTAAACCAAAATGGGACCATTGGAGACAATAAAGGAAGTAGCTATTATAAAGAAGAAAAAAGGCTGTGCAGGAGAAACATTTGGGGAATGAAAATTAGGGCAGGTTTTGAAATATTTTCAGGCTCGTTTACTACCATCTGTTAGGAGCCTATGCTTCTAGGGATTTATCTTTTCCTCACTGAAATTCTCTGGCTATGGCAAGCAAATTTGGTAAAAGATGATTAAGTTTCCTTCTTAATGGCAAAGGAATAAAGAAACAGAATGGTAGGCGTGGAACCAGAGAGCTATGGCTAAGCAATGTCCTTCTCTGCATTTTTGAAAGAGGTAGCAACCTCTTTGGAATCTCATTTTGTGCTACAACCGGATCTATTGCTGTGCTCCCTCACCCAGGAGCAGGACTGCCTCAGGTGACAGCTGTTCAGGTCGAAGATGGGAGTCTCGAATCCAGTTCTGCTGTGACACCATGTACCCAGGGGATCTGTAAGGTCAATCAGTTGTGGAAAATTCCATGATATTTCTAACAATGGAGGCAGTTTCATATTTGAACCCATTTCTCAGATTGTGGAGTTTTAAAAACAGCCATAAGCAGAATATATCACACTGTGTTGTCAAAAAAGAAATCAGGGAAACACAGAGGTCTTCAAGTTGAGAAAGCACTCTTAGCGACAAGTTGTATACCTGTGCTGAATTCCAGCCGTGGCACTTCCACAAGCACTTCTATGGAAAATAATGTTCCACATGTTAGACCTTCATGGGTGAATTCGTGAAATGAATAACTGGTATTGGAAGAGGTCCACAAAAGGTGGCTTAACTAAAACAGAAACATTTGTATAGATCTGCAAGCTCCACACTTCTTTATACTTACAATTCACCAGCTCTGAGCTCTCTACCAGTTTTCAGGAGCACTCAGGTAAAGCTGAGAAGTCTTAAGTCCTCAAAGACTGCCTGAGGTCATTATCCTCCAGGCAGGCTTGGCTTTCTTGCTATTTTTTTGAAGGTGGCAAGCCAATTGTTCCTAATGTATGGCTCTTTTTCTTCTGGCTATTCTCTGTGGCTGAAACATCCTTACACTAAATAACTAGTCCTTGGTTCACTTAGTTGTCTTAAAAAATTGCTGACTATGTACTAAGTGACAGTATTCTACCCGCAGTGTCCTCCAGTGTGGTTGCCATTTGACTACGAACTGTATTGATTCAATGTCTGCTTCACCACCCAAAACAGAAGCATAGGGGAGGATTTAATTTTGTTCACTGAATTTCCAGTACAAAACAAAATACAGTGGCAGGGATATGATAGGTAAGATTCTTTATTGTTTAACAAATATCCTCCCACCCTTGCCTCCAAAGTACTGTTCTGCCATAGTGATGTTCATTTGACAATTGCTTTGACCTCAGGTGCCTGCACTTTATTTCCTGCCTCTTAACCTTCCTCTTGACTTAAAGTCTTGTTTTGGCTGATGTAGTTGCAGTGGACATGATCAAGGAGAGGTTCCCACCATGCTTGCCAGTTGTGTGTCTGTTTGGCCACAAAAAGAATGGGACTTGAATGGTTCCTGGAGCTAAAAGGATGACAGACATGTAGAATCCATATGGGCTCCATCCCACAGCAGAAAGCCCAGCCCAGCCAAGTCCATCCAAAATCAACTGGACCACAACACACATGAGCAGGAAACAAGTGCATTTTTTATGTGCCCATAATTCTTCATTTGTGGATCAGTAAGATTTTATTATTACTTTTTACACAGAATAAAGCTGACTGACCAAAGAGGTCTATACTTAGGAGCAGAATTAATAGGTACAATCTTCTGTATTTAAAAATAAGCACCTGGTAAATGCTTAATGAAATTTTTTGCATCTTAAAAATACATGAAATCAAAACTCTAGTCACAATATGGCTAGGAACTTTTGCTCACATGAAAAGAAGACAAAAGATGAATCCTTTATGACCCTGACATTTCACCACATATACTACTTTTTTGTGAAGTTTATCTGGTTTAGGCAAAAGGAAGAACACAGAATATCCTAATTCTGGGTCTTTCTTGTCTACAATTAAAATAGGTATCCAGCAGTGTATGAGTCTTTTTCTAAACACTTCAGTGAGGGGTGGG